ATTTTTTGCACAGAAAGAGAAAGGATGATCCGTTTCTGCTCCAACTTTGCATATCCTAAAATTTGCATTAGTACTAGGTCAGGTGTGAAAATGGACAATATCGGTCTACTCCATCAAGTACCTCCCCCACAAATTTCACACATCCTAATATTTGTATTAACCCATGGTCTGGTGTGAAGGGGGAATACATCGGTCCACTCCATCTGGTACCTCCCCCACAAAATATTAAAATTTTGAGTACCCATGAAGCTCATAAAACGCCAAATTAACATCCGCTTCCATTTAGACTTGGCGCATCTGTTGCAATATTTATATCATATTTTTGGGTCTGATACGAAATGGACAATATTGGCCCATTCCTTCGGGATCTGCTCCATAGAGGGTCAAATGTTTGAATAATCTTAACACTAGTCAAAATATATTTAAATAATCGAACATAGGCTGACGGTATATATCTGGCGGCAATACCGACTCATACTTTTTAACTTGTTTTTGATCAATTTTAAAGACCTCTGAGCTCTCCCGTTTCATTTTTAAATGTTTGCCACTTGTAAATGACGTGAATTTTAAAAGAATTCCATCCAAAATAAATATGACCTCAAAAATCCATAAAGCAATTTGTTAATGGCATGACAAGTGCAATACTCAACCTTTTGTGACTGCTGTAAATTTTGTATTGCTAACACAGTTGTTGTCGTTGTTGTTGCAGTTGCTGCTGCTCTTCTTGTTTATTTTCATTTCAAACAATCATTTGTCAAATGTCCCAGTCCTTCGTGTATACAGTGTAAATTTAACATTTCCTTCTGTCCAAAAGACGTAAAGAAACGAACGAACGAACGAACGCCAAAACGTTGCTGCAAAACACCAAAACGTAGCTACAAAACAAAATTGAGGCAAACAGAGAATACTAACCAATTAAGGACAACCGAAAAACAAACACACTCACACTACAACATTTTTTGTTTGTTTCGTTTTTGTCCTGCTACAAAACCCAAGCTAAATTAGCATACTTCAGCATACAGACAGACAGACAGCCAGCCAGCCAGCAACGACAACAACATCTGTACGCATAAATAAACACAGCGTCGCACACAAATGTCAGCCAGTGGACCCCATGTTCTCCGTAGTTGCCCCCAACCACCTAGGAGTGGGGTGGAGTGATACACTGGAGTAATGTAACATTTTCATACACTGGCAGGCATATAAACTAACACGCACACCAAAACGTTCAAAAAAACAGAGAAATGTCAAGCAAATAACTGCAGTGCAGTAAAAATGAATAGAGTCACGGCAACAATTGAAAATCAACAACAAGAACAACGGCAACAACGTCGTATTCAAACAAATGTCAAGTAGAGCACAATCTGAATGTGAATTTTTATTGCCATTAAATTTTGAAATGAGAGGTTAAGAAGCTTAAATTGGGTAGCGCTAGCACCTTTATGGCCAAAGCTTTCAACTTATGACAGGTGTTGTGGCGGTCAATGAACGCTTGGATGGGGTAATTTTTATTGGAGTCAAAATTATAATAAGTTTTGAAGGACCAACAATTTTTTGATGGAACTGCGGGACTAAAAGGGATAATTTTAGAAAAGGGATATAACGTAAAAATTGTTAAGAGAGTTTAAAAAGGTCTATCAGAGGTGTCATATTGATGAGCACTATATCTGAAGTCGATTAAGCGATTTTCGTCCTTTCCATCTGTTGAATTCACAAAAATTTTCCCACCTAGCACTAACGAAAAACATGAGGATTTTCAAAGCATGAAAAAAATTGGATGATCCTTTCTCTTTTACGTAAATTAAATTATTTTCTTTGTAAATTTTGCTCCTTTTTTCGGGAGGTACCGGAAGGTGTGGCCATCTAAATCTCTTTCAAACACCAAGTCTTGTAGTGGTAGACGCATTGGGATATGCCGCGCTTGAAGATAATTGGATATAAATTCCTCATCTTATGAGCGTTATGGGTATTTAATATTTTATCTCGTTTTGAGGGAGGTAACAGAAGCCTTGGGAAAATATTATTCATTATCTGACCTAACATATGAGTATTTGCTTGAAGCTTGAAAAAAAATATGATCTCTTCTCCGCCAGACACCGCCAGATTTAATTGGAAATGAATTTCGTCCAAGGATCTAAGCCTGTTATTTCGATGAGGTTCTTTTTAGCCGTATCAATTGGTATATAAATTGATCCACAGTTTGGCATAATCCAACTACAGCGATAGATATTTGAGGTTATTATTAGCATCGGACTTTGTGATTAAACATTTGTTTTGTAAAAATTTTCGAGTCCACGTTCTGAAATATATATCCTTAATCTGACATATTTGGACCTATAGCCACTATCTATGACGAGACCGACTCGCCTTTGTCAACACTTATGTATAAATTCCTTTTTGCTGTGGGGACAGGGTATACTTTCGTTCAGTATTTTTCTAATCTTTGGATTCTTAATATAGTCACATTCAGCATTTTTAAAAGGCAATTTAATTTCAGAAAAACAAACAGAGACTTGCAGTTAGCAAACTTGCTCAAAGTAAATTGGAACTTATTATAACGTCCTAGCCAATGTTGTGATCTTTACTGAGCTGGATAATATTTAGGTCAGTCTGTCCTGTGTAGCCCAGTATGGCAGGTTTCAACGATAATGCTCGAAACTACGCCAAGTCACATGTATTGGGATCCTTGAATTTTAGTATATAATGTCTTTGCCAATATTATTGACAACAATACGAGGATTATTTCGTTTGAAAAATTGAACCCTCAAGAGAGTCACCAACCAAGTCTTGACGCAAAAAATAAATTAAAACAAGTAAAAAAGCAATAACTTCGACCGGGCCGAACTTTGAATACCCTTTCGGGGTCTATATGAAGACTTGGACCTGCATAGGCAATTTTCTGTCACAGGTTGTAGTACCTATTACTAAGTGCAAATCCGAAATTTGAAAGAATTCCGGAGAATAATGTAGCTAAAATCATCAAAATTCCGAATATCGGGAGGTGCCGATATTTAAGGGCTATACGAAGCACATGCAATTTTCTGCCCTAGGCTTGAGTACTAACCCATTATGAACTTCAAATAAGAAATTTGAAACAGATCCGGTGAAAAATGTCGCTCAAATCATAAAAGTGCTGAATATCGGGAGGTAACGTTATATGGGGGCTTTACAAAAATGTCGACGAAATTTCTCCAATTTTTGCTATTTTGAGTTCTTACCAAAGATAAAAGTTATTTCGACATTTCGGATCTTGGACTGCTTTTTCTTTATTGGCCAGGAATATTAGTTAAAAAAACTGATGTCCCCTTTGGAGTCGACCCATTTATATTCGATGTATGAAAGTTTGTCTGTCCATGTTTTCATACCCTACACCACAAGGTGGTCAGGGTATTATGTCTTCGTGCATTTGTTTGTAACTGGCATAAGGAAACGAGATAGACCCATAGTTCCTTTTGACGATCTGCATAGAATCACATTCTGAGTTGATTTATGCATGTCCGTCCGTCTGTCTGTCAATGTATTTTTGTAAACAGGTCGCATTTATTGTCCGATTCAGACGAAATTTTGCACAACTAATTTGTTTGACTCAAGGACGGACCCTATTGAAATTAGAGATAATCGGTCAAAATTTAGGTATAGCTCCCATATATATTTTCGTCCGATTTACCTTTTATTGTGCACCAAACTTGTAATATCATCCCAAATAGTTTGGAATTTTGCACGTACGGCCAAATTAAGCCTGGAAATAAGTGCGCCAAATTTGATCAAAATCTGTTCAGATATAGCTATAGCTCCCATACATATTGTTCATCCGATTTGTTGAATTTGCCCTGCATAGCCGTAATATGGACTTCGTAGTAACGATATTCGGGAAAATATATGGAATACAGCTCAGAAATACCTTTGCCAAATTTTATCGAGATCGGAAAAAATTTAGATATAGCTCTCTTATATATCTCTCCGATTTCATGTTAATTGTACACCAAATGGATAATACAAGACGAAATTGAAAATTTATTAGAAATCGATTCTGGTAAATAAAATTTTAATTTTATATGTGAAGCTCTACTAAATATGAAAAGTGGTGTAGGGTATCATAAAGTCGGCCCCGCCCGACTTTAAGATATTCTTTACTGTTTTTTTTTTTGTAATTGAAGTACACCTCGCATTATTTGTCCAATTAACATGATGTTTTTTTTTCACAAATATTAATGGACCTCCATATGTCCTGTCAAAAAAAAAAAAAAGAAAATCATGATTGTAACAGCCATAGTCCCTAAAAATCCTTTAAAACATCTAAAGTAAAGAAATATCAATATCATTTAACCTGTTTTCAATAAAATAGAGAAAAATTCTAAAACTAGAAGATACCATATAGGGCCTGTAGTGTCTTCAAAAGTAAGTAAGCTTTTAAAAAAGATTTTCGACAAAAGTCATGATGTATATTACATTATATCCCCTTCATCGACGTTCAAATAAATTATAGATCAGTTTTTTTTTTCTACAAAAATCACAGAATCACGATAATAATATACTATTTTATTATTTAGGAGAATATAATAATTACCAATAAAATTGGTAACATAATGCGGTGGTCATTTAATATTCAAACATTTTTTTTTAACTTCCGGATCATGGAAATATAAATTGTAATATTTTGTTGTAATAACTCTTCAATTTACAATAATAGGAAGCACTGAATATTAATTATATGAATAGCTTTAAACTCTTGCTCTCTCTCTCCCCTCTATTAGCCTCTCTTTCACCAATTGGTATATAGTATCATATATATCCCCTTCACCACCTTCCTTACGAATTTGCACACAATGCCTTCTTCTACTCTGTATTTACATACTTAATTTCCCTCAGTTATTTAATTTCCTTACTTTTCTTTTGAAAATGGAATTCTCGAAACTTTCGGGGTTTCCTAAAATTATTTTTTTTTTGTGTTATTATTCTGTTTTTTGTTTATGTTTCTCCATTTTTTTATTTATTTACAGACCTTTTAGCCTATTTTGATATTTATTTTCATACCGATTCAAAAGGATCGCTTGTTTATTCGCCACCGAAATTGAAATTAAAAGGTATTGTGCATTTTTTGTTGTTTTAAATCTTTTTTGTTTTTTTTTTTTTTTTTCTTTATTTCCTATTTTATTATACTTATATTTCGTTAATTGCAAAAGGAAAATGGAAGGGATGGGGATGAAAAGTAAACAGATTGATATGAAAAAAAATACGATGACCATAAGAAAGGAAACAGTAAAATATAAAAAAATATATATTTGCATACTGTAAGGATTTCCGTTATACATACTATCCTTAAATGAACGTCATAATCTCAGATATGTAGTTGTGGATATGCAGTAAATATTGAAAATATTCTCTAAGAAAACATATTTTCTTCCATTTAATATAAAATTTCATGTAATGGAAGGAACTTGCAATATCTTCCTCAGATTCTTTATTGATCAGGATACCAAATTCCTTAACATAGATCTCATTTGCTTCCTAAAAGTAGACTTCAATTTTTGTATAAATATTCTACAAGATTCAGTCACATATATCTGTGTGACGAACTCTCCAAATACCAATGTGGGAAATGTTTATTTTTTTATGAAAGCTCATCAACTAAGTCATATATAAAGTTTGTGCTGCGCACACACACCCACACATTCTCTCTGTCATATACAACTGAAAATTGTATAGCGTAGCTTGTGATGCCTATTTAGCTACCTAGTTTCCATTTCGTATACAAAAATATACAGACACACACACACTCACATACTTTCCGTGTTTATATAGCGTTTAAATGCCAGTATATAATGTGAAAAAAATTAACATCAAGTACTTTTGCTGATGCCATTGCTGTTGCTGTTTCAGCTACTGCTGCTGCTATTCAAAAATGCTATAAATTTTAAAGGTCATTTGCAAAGCAATCTAAAAAATGTTACCTTGACATGCAAGCCAAGCTATTGTTTTAATTACATTCAGGAATGTCAAATCGTTGGCGGTGGATATTTAAATTTTAAAGATGGAAGGAAATTTGAGAAGTCGTTTTTGGTAAGGATGAGTCATGAGAGAGAGAGAGAGTTGTAAATATTCTTCTATATTAAAGAAGTGTCCATGTAAGGATTTTTTGTGAGGTCCTCGACTTAAAGAAGAATTTATTGCATTGGATTTTGGACATTTGGTACAAATAGACTCCTAAAATGAGGTAACAACTATAGTAGATATTCAAAGATTCTTAGAAAAGTTCACAAGTGTAACTGTATTTTCATTAATATTAAAAATTCTCGATATTGATATCTTCAAGAGAAATCCAAAAAGCCCTTAAAAGTGGTTTAAAACTCTACAACTTGATGTTCTTAAAAAAATAATAATAAGTAAAAGAAATGAAAATGTTTACAACTAAAGCAGTAATATTCGTTCCACAATCCCTCAAAATTATAGCTTTGAAATAACAAAAAAAGTTCCATAGGGAATCTTAGTAAAGGTCTTAAAAAGGTCTACGTAATATCCATTAACCTCAGATTATTTTTAACTGTTTTTTTTTTTTTAAGAAAAAGTTCATTACCTTATGAGTAATACATTCTTAAAGGTCCCTTAAAAAATTCAATAAATCGACACTTTTATTCGGTGAAAGGTCTCAAGAGTTACTAATAATTTAGAAAAATTATTGATTATATTTGTATATAATTCATAAAAGTCCTTTGAAACCTATATTAAATGCCTATGTTAAATTTCTGGGTTGTTAACCACATTTCATAGTGAAATTTTTAAAGGGAAAGCTTCAAACGTTATTTTCTACGATAACACAAATCCTGAAAATCATAAAACGTTTACAATAAAGATAGGAAAGTCCACTAAAAGACCAAAGGAAATTCTAAGAAACTATTCCTATTTTAGTGCGTAACATAATCGAAAACCTTTAAAAAAAGCATAGAAATCTCAATATTGTAATGCTATATTGGCTAAAATATTTATTTTATAATTTATTTTTAAAAATCCCACTATTATATATCTGTGATCCTTAGCAATTCGTAACTATTGTTGTAGAAGAAACTTTAAAGTTCTCTGAACAATTTTAAGAGAATTCCATTATAACAACATGTGGAACTCATCTAAAATCCTTTATCGTCAAAAGTCTTTTAAAAATCGTAAAAAACATACAATTATTTTTTGAGCTAACATTCACGCTAAAAAAAAAAAACATCAAAATAAAAATTATGGAAGTCCATCATCGAATGGAAATTGAGAATTTCGAAACAAAAATATATAACCCCGATCATAGCTGTGAAAGATTCCAAAATTCCTTTAAGTTCTCAATTACAAAGAGTTCTTTAAAATACTTTCAGAAAAGTCCGCGTTATAGTTTCGTGACAACTTCAATTATCCTTCAATCTGTTTTTTAAGTTCATTATTACAGCAGTAATAGATCAACGCCTCTCAAACTCTCAGACTTTCAACGATTCTCAAAAACATCGACGGTTCTACCTCTAGGAGGCCCTTGATATATTCCATAAAAAGTCTATTGACAATTCTTAGAAAAATACACGATAATGAATTAATATCCTTTAAAAAAGTGATTACAGTACAGCAGTGATTTGCTCACAAAAATCGCTTAAATTGTATTTATCTTTAAATATCCTGTTAAAATCTTACAAAAGGCTGTCGTCGACTCTCACAAAGTCGATGGAGGGAATCAGATAGTCCCCCATAAGCTTTTCGAAAAAAAAAAATCAGAAAAATCATTTCCGTAACAGACGTAGTAAACTCTTAAGAACCTTCAAAAATTCTGATGAAAATTATGGATAAAAAATTGTTGTCAAGACCACAGATTAAAAAGGAGAACTACCCCCCTTAGGTTTTTCAAACTTTGACCAGGTGCTGCGATTTTCTAAGTATAGAAATAAAGTTATATTTATGGTTAAGCATTTTTTACATTTGAATTTTATAACAGGGTCTTTCAGGACCAAATCTCAGTTTTTTTAGGATATTCATGTGTCATAGGGTTGTTCATCTGTCCCGCTAAAAGGGTCGCACGATAACTTTCCAAGGGAATATCCGATTTGATCTACACCTAGTGCATCGTAATATTATTATCAAACTTGGATTGAGTTCTGGGGTGGGCCCACACAAAAGTTCAACATTTTTAAAGAAAATATTTTACATTATGTAACAGGTAGGATTATTCAATTGTGTGAACACTTGCAAATCCTAATATTGTTATCAGTGCTAAGTCTTGCCCGAAAATTGACAATATCGGTCCACTTCTTATGGAACCTCCACCAACGGGCCAAAGTTTTGAATAACCAAGAAGCTCTTTAAACGCGAAATGAGCATCCGATTCCTTTTCATCCCGACAGAATCCTCTATATCTGTCAACACAAGATCTGGAGTGAAGTCTGCAGGTATCGGCCCATTGCTTCTGGTACCACCCCTTAAACGGGTTAAAATTGTAAGTAATTATTACTTTCTAAAAGCATCTAAGTATTCCATTCTCTTCCCATCTCACACATCCCAATTTTTCTACTAACACAAGGTTTAGCGTGAAGATGGAATATATCGGCCCACTCCTTCTCGTAACTCCCCCACAAAAGAATCAACATATGGTATCTCCTCCAGAAAAGGTTAAAACTTTGATATAAAATTATTTGCATAAAATTCAATTTTTTAAATGTTCGATTTTCTATTTATGTCAGTATTATATGAAGTGGAGTACTTCGGTCCACACCACCACAACCACTTCACGCATATTTCAACATTTTCCAAAAATGATGACATATTTCACATAAGGTAAAGGAAGTAGTCAATATAGTTCAAATCTCTCTAATTGTAATATTTATATCAGACTTATGTCGGATACGAAATGGACAATATATTCAAAACCTCCCCAATATAGGATCAAAAGTTGGAATCCTCATAACGAAATATATTAATATATTAAAATTAACTGACATTGGCTGAGGATACACATCTGTCGGAAAACCGACTGATAGTTTTTAATTGTTGACTTGTTAACATTTTTTTTTAACATGGTTTTCGATGACATTTTAAGACCAAAATATTATAACTAAAATTCGAGGTATTTTAAGATTGTTACAATTGGCCATTCTGTATTTGAATCGTAGTTTTTTTTAAAAAAGATAGCAATTTCTTCTCGATTTTTTTATAAATTTATAAACAAGGCAGATGTGGAAATTATTATATTTTTCTAGTTTCAGTGTTTTTTTCTACTCTATATATATTTTTATACCCTACAACACTATCTGTTGAGGGTATTATAAGTTTGATTGGGCCAAAATTATGTAACAACTCGAAATATTGGTTTCCCACATAGGAAAGTATATATGGATTTTTCTATTGGGGGGCTAGGGCTAGAATAGAACCTTATTGCTTTTGAAGATGATCGCATAATATTTAGGGGTTGAAATGGGCCAAAAACTGAAAAATTTCTTGATTTTGCTGTGGCTCTACAGGTCGTAATTATAGACCGATCGACGTGGAAGTTAGTACGGAGCTATGGCTTAGGGATGGGTAGAAGCCTTCCAATTTTGATGGTCATCGGGTAATATTTAGTGGGTAAAACAGACCATAAAATTTGTGTTAAATAAAAGTCGAAATTTCCATTAAACCGCGAATATTTTTAATCCCGGCGAAATCACAAATATACGAACAGGTCAATTCTGACCGTTATGTAGATTCCGATAGTAAATATATCGGATATATATTGCGAAATATATACAATGTATATATACAAAGGAAGGGGATGTTAGCTAGAATGTTTATATTTCAAGATTGGCTGGGCCGATTTTGACAATTTTTGCCAATTCAGAATGCCCTCTTGCCATAAAAGTAAAATGTCTAAAAAATCGCATAAAAAGGCGCCTATAATGATGTTAATATAAATTTTGCAGAATTCTGTGAAATATTTTTTATTTTTTCATTATTTTTTTGTCGCATGCGAAAAAAAAGATTTCGTAATCTTTAAGATAAAAGGTAATGAATTCTTTTAGAATAAATATCCAAAGATCTCCTGCCAGTATTTCGTGTATTTTAGAGATATCTTTCAGAAATTTATAGT